CACCTCCTAACAGCAAGTCCTCTACAGCCTCCATAGTCCAATCACCTCCCACGAGCCCCACTTCTGAGTGCATGAGGCTTTGGCAGGCCATTCTAGATCTAAACCACAACAGTCATTCAAATTACAAACTACAACTCACAGAAAATATGTATAGTATAATATTGTCATGTTTTTAAAAACACCAAAATATACACCATATCTTTGGTTGTCTAAGAAGGAGGCTCAGCAACAGATGAGATGGTGTAATAAGGCAATTTTTAAGTCCCATCCAACTCTCAGTTTCTATAATCCCAAGAAGTAAATGTTTATAGTTCCTTTAAAAAATATACAGCTTTGACCTATATAGGAAAACTGTAGAATTTTGTGGAGAGGCATATAAAGGAGACCTGGATAAAAGGAGATGCATGACAGTGTTTTGGATTGAAAGTCAACATTGTGAAGATATAAATTTTCCCCAAAGGTAATCTAAGATTAACAACAACAACAACAACAACAAAAATGCATTTTAGTAAGTGGACAAAAAAATAGTTCTAAAGATCATCTTGAAGATTAAATGTGTAAGAGGCATCTCTCCAAGATTCAGAATCTGGACACTGGACAATAACAACTTGGAGATGAAAAGGAGGGAGCTGATCTCTAGGATCCAAGGAGGCTCTGAAGGATACATTGAAGCCCACAGAGAAAGTAGAAGGACAGACCTCGGTGCAGAAAAAGCAGCAGGCATCCTGTACTTTCTCCCTAGCTCCTGGCTTGTGGCATGAGAGAGGAGGATCAAATCTACCAAGACACAGTGAGGGCTGGTGACACCAGAATCCTGCAGGGAGAAACACACCAGTGGAACAGAGCAGTGGATGCTGTTGTTACAACAGCTGGTGAGTGACTCCAGTCCAAGGGACTGCAGTGTCCCCTGCAGATGGTGCTTGGCCAGACACCATTTTAGGGAGGGCCTAGCTGAGCCTGGGACTGAGACCTAGTGTTGAAATCACAGAGAAACTGAGTGAGGGACAGCCATGAAGATGTCCAGGGTCAGGGAACCATGGTGGGGCCTGAAAGAGACACTCAGGGTGTTGTAGGCTGAATGACTCTGGGGCCAACCCTGAGACCAGAGGCCAAGATGAACCTGAACTTCTGTGGATTTGAATGTACCAGAATCAGCAACTCCCCCTAATCCTATTGCAGGCTTGTTGGGATTATCCAGCACCTTGCTCTAATCCTTGTAGGCTTGCTGAGATTTTCTAGCATGGGTCTGGGCTCTGACTGCCTCCTCTGACTACCAATGACAGCAGAGTTACACCCTGAATTGGACACTGCCACAAAACTGTAGGCCCCAGAAGATAATTACAGGCTTGAAATCATAGAGAAATATATTTATATTTTTTCTTCACATTTTTTTGGTTGTTCATTTATTTTCACTTTTTTATGAGTGTGAACATTGTTTTTAGTTTAGTTTAGTTCTTGTTTTTTTCTTTTCTTTCCCTCCTGTCTCCTTACCAGTTTTCCAAGGCTTGTGTAATCTTCCTTTGTCCTTTGTCCTTGCTTTGAATATCTTCCTCTTCTTTTATTTCTCTATTTTTTCCTCTTATCTCTTTTAAATTTTCTCCCCTTAGGGCAAAATTTTTGAGTGGATATTTACTGTATATAATTTTCTGATTTTCTTAGTGTTTTTATATAACTATAAAATCTTGTATCTATGGTTAAAGTTAGCAAATTATTATTTATCTCAGTTTGTCATTTTCTAGTCTGTGCTTGATGCTATTGTTATTGGCTGAACTACTTTAGCCAAAGTGACATAGTTGTAATCAGTTAATCTTCCTTATATGTTAATACCTAGATTGTCTGGGGGTCATAAACAATACAATCCAGTATCAAACAACTGGGTGTTAGGCCAAACAGGCAGCAACTTTCATCCCTGATAAAATGAACAGGCAGGATCTTGGGACAGACTCAAAAGCCAAAAGCCAGCTATGCCTAGAAGACATCTCTGAAAAGAAGTCATTTCCCAAAGAGGTCTCCATACTAGTAATAAAGCTACCCACCATAAATAATTTACAAGCATCAAAGCAGAAAACAAACAAACAAACAAAATAGAAAATGAGGAAACCCAGAAGCAAGATGCAACCCATAATCCCCAACTCACCCAAGACAAATCAAGGAGGCACTGAAGTGAAAGAAATCAAAAACTTCCCAACTGAATTTTATGAAATTGTGGCAGTGGAAGGAACAAAACATCAATAAGTCTTGACAAAAATAAATCAGAAAATTAAAGAGATGATGACTATAAAGAAGGAAATAATCAATGAATCTAGAATAGACAGATAGCTGCTAGAAAAAAAAAAGAGCAAGTTAATCCCAAAGCATACAAGGGAGGAAATTATAAATATTAGAGCAAAAATTAATGCCATTGAGACTAAGAACACAATACAAAGAATCAGTGATTTGAAGAGTTGGTTCTTCGAAAGATTAAATAAAATAGACAAACTCTTAGCTAACCTTATTAAAAAAAAGGAAAGAAAAGACTCAAATCTGCTCAATTAGGAAAGAATGGTTGAAGGGAGAGGAATCCCCCAAACAACAACAAAAAAGAATTAAAAAATATTATGAGCAGGTACAAATTCCCTATGATGAATGTGATCAATATGTATAACGGATATGAACTGATAAAAATTAAATTAAAAACAAAAATGTGTAAGAGCCAGACAATATTTTAAAATAAAATGTATATTATAAAGTCACAATAGTTGAAATCGTGTACTTGTGCCAGAACAGACAGATCAAGGAACAAAAAAGAAAATCCAGAAATATGAGAATTTATCACATAACTAAAGTGACACCTTAAATCAACCAGGAAAGGGAAGATTATTCAGTTAAATTTTGGGACAGCAGTCACCATGCTGGTCCTACCTGGGGGGAGGGAACATATACATGTGCTTTGTAAAAGATCTACTGGCCTTATCATACAGAAAATATCTAGGTAATATTTTTCTTTCCCACCTTATGCTGAAATAAATTCACAGTAGATTATATATTTTGAAAGATTTAAGAAACAAGAAAGTTTTTAAAGCACTACAAAAATATTTAATACTGGGATTGAGATGTACTATAATTATGATCTCAGAGGCAGAAACCAAAATGAAAAAATGGATAGATTTGCCCATATCCAACACGTTAAAATTAGGTATATATGTATATGTGAATTAACAAAATTGAAAAGACAAACACCGTGTGGGATAAAGGCTACATAAATGACAGACAATTCTTAAGTGCATTTTTTTACAAGCTAATGAAACAAGAAATGAGTATTTTATAGAAAAATGAGTTAAAGGCATGGAAAGATACTTGCTAAAGAAGAAATTCAGAAACGATGTAAGCATGAAAAAATGTTTACCTCGTTAGGAATTAAAGGAATGCACATTAAAGTGACAAGGAAGAATATTTTGTTCTAGTAATGTTTTAAGAAGTTTAGGTATTGCAAGACAGGTACATATCAAAATGTGAGCAGCAGTCATTTTTGGGTAGTGGGTATAAAGGTAAATTTCTTTTGTTTTTCTGTGGTGTTATTATTTTACTTGTGCAATAAAGAAATAATGGTTGGCATTGTTAGAAAGTCTAGAATTTCTGGAAACATAATCTCTACAGTAGGAACAAGGGCATTTTCAAGCTTGGCCTCTTGGGCTCCACTGGCAGCCTGCTCAGCCACATTCCATCATGCTGGCATCCAAATCAGGAACTGGGTTGTGGTGGCTGCTGTTTGGACAAGCAGAATGGGGCAGGAGGCAGTGAGACTAGTCAAGAAGCTGGTGTAATAATAATTTAAGTGATAATTCATAAAAATAGCACTGGACCTTGGTGTGACCATTGTCTTCAAATAACCAATTACAGTAAATAAATGCAGATCTGTTCATTTTATCTTGTTTAAGAATACTCAGGAGGACAAATAGGAAAGGGAAGTTAATGTGGATGAAACAATGCCAAGCTAAATTTCGTTGGAATGGAACATGTAGATGGAGACGCTGAAATTTTCTTGGTTCAGATTCACAAGCAGCCATTTCAACCCTGTAAGAAGGACAGGCCACTCCGGTGAGGTGCCACTCACATTTCAGGGCCCAGCAAACACGCGACCCTGGCCAGATCCCGAAGCCCTTTCTTCCACCTGGCTCTCAGTCCCCAGAATAGATGATCGTGATGAGCTTCCCTTTGAAATTGTTCTAAAACAAGCCATGCCTTCGAATTGTTCAGGGTTTCTCAACTTCCTGCACTTCCAGTCGGTGGAAGGAAACGTCTTACCCACATTGTCTCCTAGCCACACACTTAGGTTATTTATACTGCGTCTTTCCTAAAATGTGTCACCTAGAAATGAGGCAGAGTGTTTCCACACTCCATGACTACTTCTATCCACGCAGCTTCAGAGCCAAGGAGCCTTAGTCTTCTGGTAGCCCTCAGTCTCTTTCCTTTGACCAGTAGTGCCTTAGGAACTTCAGCAGGCACGACTTTGTCTCGATCATGCTTTACAAGATCCAACGCACCGGAGGCAAATACAAAATACCTAGGACTGGACTAAGAAGGTAATTCATAGGCAGGCCAGCCCAGGGCCACGTCCCTCCTCCGGCCGCACGGGGGAGCCCGAGCGCCGCAGTGCGCGCAGGGGCCAGGGCCCGCCGGGAGAACGACTCTGGCCCAGGCCCGATGATTGATTGGCCGGTGTGGGCGGAGCCAAAGGCAAGCGGCAAATGGGGGACAGGAAGTGGGGCGGGGCCTAGGGAGGGAGGGCACGCGCTTGCGCAGAGCTGCGTCGTCGGAGTCCGCCCTGGCCATTGCCAGTCAGTCAGTCCTCACGTC